ACAGCTTTCTGCAAATTTTTCTTCGTGTCAAACAGTTGCTCGACATACAAATCTTCATCATTGGGGACTACACGCGAACAATTAGAGGATTGTGCACTCGGTCCAGCCTGTGAGCTCCTACTCGACTCATGTTTCAGACGGGATAAAGCAATCAAATTCTCATTTGTAAAGTTATTATCTCTTTCATTGTCTTGAACTGCCGAGCGAATTCTGTGTGTAACAATGAGATCATGGTGAGGAGCAACTGTCTCTGGAATAGCCACAACATCATCACGAACTATCTCTATTGTGTCCCAAAACTCATTCACATTATGATCCCCTCCATCGAAATTTTCGTGTTCACTCTCGAGGACATTCTTCTTCATCAATGTTACGCAAATAAGAATCGCACGTTTCTGGTTCATTTCAATTAAAACCTTCATTTCAGCTTTAGAAGTAACCATTGAAGGTGGAATTAAAATGGATATATGCTCGCCCTTTAGAAATCCCAATTCCATGTCGTACTTAGAGGGATGACTTTCAGCAAGTTCTGTATTTCATTGTACATTTCTGCATATGATGTACTTGATATTATCACAATTACAGTACAACCATCTCTTTCACTCGTCAATTTCCACACCCATCTATCATTTTCATTCTTTTCAAATTCACCACAGTAACAAATCGGGACAAAAACTGATCTCATATCTTCATTAGGAAACATCATTTATTAAAAAATTATAATTACGAGAATAAATGGACGAAAAAAATATGCTAGACAAGACACACACACACATGAAAAAATTTCAACATGGACGCCAACAGTCGGCCTGGACTGTCTGACCGGTTGTATGTCTGACTTCTCCATTTTGTTGATTTTTACTGAATAGATGAAAATTTTTTCCTCGTTTTTGCTAAAAAAATTATACATCCATTTAAGAATGTAATAATTTATTTTTCTAAAATTATATCCTGAAATAAGATTTAAAGATTCAAACATTGTACTAATTTAACTAAAATGAAATTAAAAATACGTATTTATACTTACCAATTCCGAGTGCCAGGTGTGAGCAATATTTTTTTGTTGAGTTTTTGATAATTTTGTGAGATTTTAATGTTCAAGCAGATGGAAGAGGAAATTTCTTTTTAACTATTTTGGAGAATCTGATAAGCAAAGTGATTTCGTTTTGAAATTTAAGTAGGACTGTTTGGATTTATTAATTTTTTGAAAGAGGGTATTATTGTCTTTGAACAAATGATATGTTTTTATAATTACAAAACATAATAAGAGTAAAAATGACATTTACTTTTCAAAATGCTCTTTTGGTGAATGGTAAAAAAATTTTGGTCAATGTCACAAAGTGGTTTTTTGACTAGATCCTTTTGAAAAGTACCCCGGCCATACATCACATTTCCAACTCTTTTAAAAAATTCAATTAATGCCATGTGTTCTCGTTTCCTTTGCCTTCCTACAAGTTTTCATGCCCTATAATTTGTTCAGTGATGTTATCTTATCATCCCATCTCACACTTTCTAATGTATTGTATGCTCCAAATTTTAATTTAATTTGTTGTCCATTAGCCAACTAACAAAATATCTCAACTGTGACTTTTTGCACTTTTAAGGATCTAACAATGAAGAAGCTGATTGGAGCGAGTGTGAGCACAACGAATTGTGTTATTTCGAGCATACCTTTAAAACTATCCTCAAATCATCTAGTTAAATTTCTTTTGATAGCATCAAATTTTAGATCACCCTTCCTTATATAATGTTCCTCATTTTATACCCCGTCCCAAGTAATTGATCATTGTACCACATGTACTCATGGAAAACACACTCGTTTACCTTTTCAATTAACTGATGATAAAAGTTAGATGCCCTTTGATCGTATATTTTGCAATATTTGGGGTGGTTATCAAACAGCTTCTTTATTAGGTGCACATTATTTTTAACCATTATTGATAAATACACTCGAGCCACACGGTTATATTTACAGTGTTTCAATCTGAAACTTTAACTTGTCTTCATGCATTTTTCCTATGATTCATACCCAATTCAATTCAAAAATACGCCACATATACACTATTATGGTCAGGAATTTCTTGCTCTCGCTACACATGAATGTTTTTCTGATCAAGGTACTCTCCATGAGCACACTTGTTTTGAAGCACCTCCATCATGGCTGAGCGAAAACATCGTCATATTTTAAATGTGGCTCGATGTCTTCACTTTCAGGCTCACCTTTCCCTTACCTTTTGGGATGAGTGTGTTCTCACAAATACTTATCTCATTAATCGCACCCCATCCTTCTCTTTACAAAATATTTCGCCTTTTGAGCACCCCTACCAAAATGCACCCTGTTATGATCATTTATATGTTTTTGATTGTCTTTACTGTGCCCACACTATTTTTGCCCATCGTGATGAGTTGCAACCCCGTGCTTGACCTTATGTTTTTTTAGTTATCCTTCTACTCACAATGCATATCAGGTCTATGTCCTAGAACGTAAAAAAAGGGTAATCTCTAGGGACGTAACTTTTCTAGAACATGTTTTCCCTTTTTCCTATTACCCAGCCTTTCCCATTGCCCTCGTTTTTCCACTTCCAGTACCTGACCCCTCTACTTTGCCATCCGATCCCTCTCCACCTACTTGAATCTCTTTATGGTCTTAAGCAGGCTTCAAATAATTGGTACTTGAAACTCTTATCCGTATTGTTGTTTGATGGTTTTACTCAAATTGCAGCTGATCATTCCCTTTATACTTAGACTATTGGTTCCTCTTTTACCTTTGACCTAGTTTATGTTGACGCTATTTTGGTGGTAGGAAATGACTTCTCTGCCATTATCAATTTGACAATTTGGGTTCACGATTGGCCACCTTTCACATGGATCAGAATTTGAAGCTTACTCCTAATGACGGCCATCTACCACTGATCCCATCTCTTATCGACAATTGGTCGATCGGATTCTGTACCTCACTATTTCTCACCCGAACATCTATTTCTCGATTAATCTATTGTACCAATTCAAGCGAAATCCTCGGGACTCACATCACCAAACTATACTTAACGTTCTACATTACTTAAAGGGGTCTCCAGGATATGGACTCTTTTATTCCACTCAATGTGACCTCGAGCTTTCCACATTCTTAGATTTTGATTGGGCTAGCTGCCCTCCTACTAGTTGCTCTACGAATAGGTTTTTCATCACTCTTGGCACTAATCCCATCTCTTGGCGCACAAAGCGACTAATAGTTATTTCTCTTTCCCTTGCTGAAGTGAGTACTATGCAATGGCTATGACCACATGCAAACTTGTTTGGCTCAAATCTCTTCTATGTGATCTTCTTCTTGTTCATCCTCAATGTATTTTGCCCTATTATGACAACGGGGCTACGCTTCACATCACCCACAATCCTCTTTTTCATGAGCGCACCAAGCTTATTGGACTCAATTGTCATTTTGTGTGTGAAAAGTATCTCTGTGGGCTTATTCTTCATATGCACGTTTCTATTAGTTTCAATTAACTGATATTTTCACCAAGACTCTTGAGGAGGATCTTTTTCAATATTTCACTCACAAGTTGGGTGTTACGGATCTTCATGCTCTAACTTGCGAGGGAGTATTGAAGGAAATTACCATTCACGGAAATATTTTCCTTGTTAATTATGATTTTTCCCCCTAGATTAGTGCCTCCTACCATACATGACTCCTAACTTTGCATTATAGAAGGCTGCTTTATCTTTATTCAAATCAATGAGAATTAATTCATTCCTATACCAAATCTAACACTAATCGTCGCTTTTGTCAGAGAGTTAAAATTCTAGACTTTGTTAGTGGTTTAATATAATACCTACTAAAAAAGTTAAAAGCAAGCAACCACCAAAAAAATTTAAAAATGTTCTATGAATTGAAATGTCGAGACTCTTCCCCCTAGATAATCCAATTCAATTTCGAATCTCAAATTTTGAAAATAAAAAATCATGCAGCTGATTGAATTTCCCCAACTTGTATGATAGTCGCTTGAGAACAATCAAACTAGTATTAGCACAATTATTGAAGTTTAGACAAGTAAATCACCTTACTCTCGTTACGGTTCACGAATCATTCATAAATTGACCAAAAATAAACGCAGCAAATAAATATACTTGGTCCAAAATACCACAATTGAAATGCCAAGTTTAAAACAAGGATAAAGATATTTGTACAAAATCTTGTTAACAAAATGTACTCTCTCACAACAGTGTTGGGCCCCACGTGAAGTTAAAAAGTGTCAGCTTGTGGCCCCTACCCCCATTGCGTTTTCATTCATTTTTTCAATAAAAAGGCAATTTTACCCTCTATTCAAATAAAACAACAACAACAATAATAATAAAGAGCTAATTGCAACTATAACCCCAAATTTTCAAAAAAATTACAAATTAATCACAAATATATACTGAAAAAAAAAGGAAGAAGAAGAAGAAGAAAAACAACACTATATTGCAATTATGACTTCTTCTTTTTTTGGTTTTTTTTTATTTTTATTTTATTAATATATTTATGACTGATTTGTAATTTTTGAAAATTTAGAATTATAATTACAATTAACTCTTTATTTTTCTATTCTATTCTTTTTGTTATATGCTAATAGGTAGTAAAATCACCTTTCCATTGAAAAAATAGATGAAAAGAACATTTTGCACAATGAAATGTGAAAATATGGGTAAAAATGTCAAAAAATGAAAGGTGGGAAGTTTTGCACAATAACATTAAAAGGTATTTGTGCTATTTAACCGTACTAAAAATATAGCAATCACAAACAATAATAGACCATTTGCTCCAATTAGCTAAATATTCTGATAACAAATTCATGATTTACACTGGGAGGAAGGAAAGGAGCTAATGTTTGCGCTCCCTGGTCCGGCCCAGCAGATTGTACTCTAAAATACTAACCTTATTTCAATCTAGAATACTGCAAAAGCTTTTGAATCGACTTACATCACTANGGCCCAGCAGATTGTACTCTAAAATACTAACCTTATTTCAATCTAGAATACTGCAAAAGCTTTTGAATCGACTTACATCACTAGACTGACTTTACAAAAAAGGCAAAACAATATGATGATACACAAATCAAGCAACATCTATCTTTGGACCTCAAAAGGACTACACAAGTCAAATCATTTGGATTGTGTACTACATAGCCAATAACTTAAGCCAAAAACTCGAGAGCGAGCTCTCAAGAATTAATTTTACTAACCCATCGTCAGCAGGAAATTGTCATTTAACTAGACGTCATGGGTGTAGATAGTCGCAGAATGCACCTTTTTTGCAATGCCCACTTTCATAGAATTTACACACACGCTGCCCTTTCGGAAGAGGCCTAGAATATCCACCAGCAGCAGCAGCACCACCTCCATAAGGATGTCTGCCCCATGGAGGCCTGCCCCTCCCAAAGCCTTGGTCCCCGCTTTGGTAACCCCAATCTCTAGGGCTAGCAAAACTTTGCCCACCATTTTTCCGTTGGTTATCCCATGGAAGACTCCCATTCGGAGCACTATGGTTCATGTTTGGATTTCCCCATGATGTCCCTGGGTTTGTGAATCCCAGGTTCGGTATTCCTTGAGCATGTCCTCCCAATACTAGATTGACATTACCCTGCACAGTCACCAGATTAATGTTACCCTGAACGTTTCCCCAACCAGGGTCCACAGTTTCAGATCCTGTGCCAAGAGCCAATGTCGTGCCAACCATGTCTTGACTTGTGTTTGGTGCAGGAGGATGGAAATCGGATCCAGCATCCACTCGGAAAGATGGACCATTTGTTTCTCCTTCACTACTTGCTGATGACTGTACGCATGAGCTCCTTAATGGATCAAGAGCATTCGCCTGAGACTGACAAGTAAACTGCATCTCCCCACTGGAGCTCAAAGCTTCACTTTTTCCAGGATCACGTGTACGGCTGAACTCCTCAATCGAGCTAAAACAACCATCATTACAATCTTGAATTAATTCTTTCTCAAACTTAATGGCTGAAGTAGGGGAAGGCAAACCACCTTGTGATTCCATAACTTCAGTCAACAAATCTGATACTAAATCCTCACCGAGAGCATCAATCTCAATCTTTTCATTGCTTGACGCTTGCCAACTAGTTATATCTGAAGTAGGATGCGAGGAAGAAGAAAGAGTCAGCATGTTAGCCAGCGAAGTATAAGCATCATTAAGAGATTTAGGAGGTTTTAGTGAAGATCCGGCGACAAGACAAGAATCCCATTCCTCCACTGAAGCTTTTGCATGGGTAGGGGAATATCCACACCATTCGTCAGGACCAGCACTCGGAAATTTGAAGATACCAGAACTTTGCATAGGAATATCTGAACACACAGACTGCTGCTTTTCAGCTGTCTGAACTTCCCAGTCCTTGATGCATGTCTCGGGTGTAGTAGGCAGACGTGAGAGATCTATGTCACCATCATGTTTAGATAAATTAGGTGACCTGGTGACAGGTACAAAATCAGAACTCGATTCAATATTCTTCGAACTTAAGACAGAACCCAAATTTTCTTGAGAAGACTGACCAACTTGACTCTGTTTATTTTCACAATCATTTCCACCAGCCATCTGAATTTCAGTTCTCCCACTTGAATTTTCCTCTCCATGTTGTGTACAGTGGTTGAAACTCAAATGTGGCGAGGAACCCGACTCATCTGCCCTTTCAAGTCTAGCATCACAACTAACAAATCTATTATCAGAAATAGCTTCAAATTTCTGGGACTCTGAAGAAATGTTATCTGGCAACTTTGGTGCTTCATGGAATCGCCCGTTTAAAGCACTAATCAGAAGCACAGAATCATATTCCTCGTGATTTGTCCATATCCTCATATCAGGTGGAAATAGTCCAGTCATGCTCCACTTCCGAAAGTGCATCATGGAAAATGGCCCTTGAATTTTACCATTCGGATCCCGATAGTGCCACAAATTTCCAGTTTCAATAGTATTAGCAGAAGACAAGTTTCCAATGGAGCCAGTAGTGATTGAAGTTTCTAATCCAGATTCCATCATGGCTTGATCACACCCATCAGTTGCCAAGCTAGAAATATTATCTTGACTTGCATATTTCTCCAAACTACGTGATCCATTCGAATCTATTTTTTCATCAATTCTATTCTGCAGCTGGATCGACCCATCTTCTATACCTGAATATAAGATTTAGTACAAATACGTTTAAGTAAAAACAAAAGCAAACAAAATAACCAGTGGAAAAACACACTTCCAAGTCCATAAAGCCCAAAATGTAGTGTTACCTGGCTTACTGTTATTGCCAAGTTTCGTGTCTTCTTCAGATTCATAATTTGGGTTCATTTTTGGATCAGCATGGATTTCTGTAACTTCACAAAGTTTCCGCTGGTGTTCCAACTTCAGAAGCTGTATTTCTTGTATACGTTCACGGCATGTGAAAATCGTCAAGGAACTCCAAACACATTCAAGGTGTTTCATCATACTCGTGTCACCGTTGGAGAATATTAAACAAAAAAAAAACTATTCATGATCCATTATCATTAAATCCCACTTCCTCAGAATAACGAGAGGTGGAATTATGAAAGACCACTTCTCCTACCATATTTCAAATTGCAGGGGAAAACTATGAGATGTCAAAAAAAGGAAAAAGAATGACAAGGATTTATATAAATAATCAAAAGTTAATTAGAAGTGATCTTAAATCATTTTTTAATTAGTGCCTTCTGGAGATTATTAATTATCATGACTACATACTCCTAAACTATTCACCTGAATCAGTATATGTGATAACCCAAGTATTCCAAAGGTGACAAGCTGGACCAACCAAATTCAACTTATAATTAATTACAAATTCATTAATTCAGTATTTCTAATATAGACTCCGTAATCAGAGCACGACTCATGATTTTTCATATATAACAGAGGTGGTGCCAAAGCTGAACCCCTAGGCAAAATCAACTATCAATCAAATACTTTTTCCCAATTCGGGAGACCACTTGAAGCAAGAGGTTAATGTGTCTAGGGGTGAGAAAAATACCAAAAAGGGACAAAATGGACCTAGTCAGATCGGTTGGGACACCATTTGGTTCAGTTTTCGTGCTGAGCTTGGACCGAAGCCCAAAAACATGGTTCAGTGATCGAGTTGGGTCCCGACCTGACCCTTTAAAAAACGACTTAAACAAAAGCCAACCTACTTTCCCAACCACACAACACCAAACCAATTTGGGTCAAAACCCACAGAGACAATATAAGCAGTCACACAGACGCAGAAGCACACATAAACACACTGAAAGAAGATCTTGTGGTGAATGGGTGGATGTCATTTATGGGGGCGTGGTGGTGATGGTTTATAGTGGGGGTGGTGGTCGTGGTTCGTATGTGCTGCGGTGGTGGTTAATGGGTGATGGTTTATGGGTGTGGTGGTTTATGGTGGTGGTGGTTTATGGGTGGCCAGAATGACCTGAAATGAAAACTTTTGGTTCTGGTTGGTTTAATTTTTAAAAAGTATTGGTTCATTTTCAGGTTGGGTTTGCGCCCAACCCAACCCATCCTGTGCCCACCCCTAACTGTCCACTGGGTCCAATAATTCTTCAAAATATATTCTTTTACCTTTCTCAACTAACAATGCATTTGGAGAGAAAAGAGTTTAAAAGGTTTTTCACCTTTGAAGCTACAATTAATATGTTGCCAGGAAAAAAGAACTTCACATTAACAGCTCCTTCTAGGTAGAGATAACTATGTTTTTTTTTTTTTGGCAAACATGAGGTTATCAAATATCACCATATAATTCAAAATATCATATGATTTTAAACAAAGGATATTCCTTCTTTTGTCCCTCCTCACTAGCTTGTCCAAGTAGTCGATTTAGCTGTGATATCTCTGCTTCAAGTGGCTAATATAAAAAGTTAAATAAGAAAAGATCCAAACAAGAATAAGAACAGAAATTAGGTCATAAGAATAGAAGATAACCATGTAACATCACCCCCAACCTTCCACCCCCCAAAAAAATCATAAAATAAAATAAAACTCCCACAGTAAACAAACATAAGGAGTAAGTAAGGGCACCCAGACATGCCAAAGGTATGGATGAGGAAATGAAAAATTTAAGTAAAAACTGATAATGGGTATTTGACATTTATGTACTATATGAAATCAGGGTAGCTAAAGAACCACAACATAAAACAACAGTTCACAAACTCACTTCATTCATCCTGACTGCTTGGAGTGCCATAGCTTTCTTGTGTACATCACCCTACACCAAAGTAAATATTAGCAAATTCTCATGTGCATTACTTTAAGATAAACTTTTATATAGTTCCAGTACGCATACAACAGTCAGTGGTTTTCTAAGCCCATGCTTTATGCTTCGACGTAATTGCCTGCATTCATCCTGAATATCAAAATTGATTATTAGAGAACGATATGATCTCTCCAAGGGGGGAAAACATATTGAATGAGCGTATCCACATAATAAGTGTTCCAGTCTTGCAAAAATAGCAAAGATTTTGAACTCCCTACAAATTCACTAAGGCAATCATTTCCATTTTGTACATAGTGATTTTGTAAAGTAACAAATATCTAGAAAATGCATAGCTAAGTTCGTGTAATCTTATTTTAAAAAAAAAAAAAATACATATTGAATGAGCTTATCCACATATTGAATCACTATGTACAAAATGTATTGAATGAGCGTATCCACATAACATTTGTGTTCCAGTTTTGCAAAAATAGCAAAGATTTTGAACTCCCTACAAATTCACTAAGGCAATCATTTCCATTTTGTACGTAGTGATTTTGTAAAGAAACAAAAATCTAGAAAATGCATAGCTAAGTTTGTGTAACCTTACTTCAAAAAATCAAAAAAAATATTGAATGAGCGTATCCACATATTGAATCACTATGTACAAAATGTATTGAATGAGCGTACCCACATAACATCTGCATTCCAGTTTTGCAAAAATAGCAAAGATTTTTTGAACTCCCTAAAAATTCACTTAGGCAATCATTTCCAATTTTTACGTAGTGATTTTGCAAAGTAACAAATATCTAGAAAATGCATAGCTAAGTTTGTGTAAACTTATTTCATTAAAAATAAAAATAAAAAAGAATAGTTTTTGAGCCATACAGGTGAAATTACATCTTTTTCTGTCCCATAATACATCAAATGTTGAACTTTAGAATCAGGAAATATCAGCCAATTTTAATAAGGCATGTGATTAATCCACCACAAATAGAAACGGATTAGTTTTAATTACTCCATTTAAAACAGAAAGGATTTTAAAAATGCATTGAGTTAAAAACCTTAAGTTATATAATAAATCTTCTTCGTGAGGCTAAAGAAAAGACCAGAAAGATCTACAACTACCACTCACGACCACCGCTAGTATTGATTTCCACTTTCGGAACAAAGATTATCAATTCAACACTCAGAAAGAAGCAGAGAAGTTGTTCAAATCTGCATCTCAAATCACCTCAGAGAAGACTTGATCTGAAATAGCGTCAATTGATAGAGCTTCTTTCTTGTCTAAGTTTAGAACTTCAAGCCTGATATCTGTTGTCTTACAACCAGCTTTATGTGGTTCGGCTGTCTTAACTGTACCTGAATTCCAGATATTAAAATAGGATTAGTTCAGTAAATGTGCGACTAGCAAAAAGGAAAAAAAAAAAAGTTCTTTTAACGATGCACTAAAAAGAAAGAAAGAATAATAGGATAAAGTACGCTTTTAATTAAGTTATGCACATACATACCTACAACTTGGACAAGCCTGTAAAAATCTTCCTGATGATCATTACTTGATACTCTGATTCGCACAAATGAGCCAACAACCATTTCATGGAACTTCTCATCTTTGATAAGAGCCTCCATCAAATTACGTCGCAAATAAATCAAGCTAATGTTCTGAAAATCAATTGCAGCATACTCATCTATTTTTTTCCGGGGTGCTCTCTCTTGCATGACGTCTTTAGACCCCCATTTAGCGTCTCTGTCATTGCTTGGTTTGTTCACTCCTTTTTCAATATTTGGCTTTTCTGTGCCTCTGTCAATGCATGACTGGTCTGGGCCTTCATCAATGATCTGCTTCTTTGTATATAAATTTTGGCTCGTCTCATCAGGCTCTTTTTTATTACTCGTCCTTACGTCTTTATCATTGCTTGAAATTTCGGTCCTTAATGGGTCCTTATAGACTAAACCATGCAGTTCTTCAGACTTATTAAGCTCAAAATGTTCGGAAGACCTGTATGAATTAGTAACTTTTCTACCATGTCCATTACGATATACATTATTTAATCTCCGCTTACGAGGCACCATAGCCACATCTTCCAATGGTTTCCCAGCTTCAGTAAGCTCACTCATGGTCAACGATAGCTTCTGCTTTAAGAAAACCCAATACACTTTGAACAAATACTCCCAGCTAGTTTTATCATCAAAATCTACTTGAACCTGCACAAATAATTTCACTATATTAGGTTAAAATCGCAAAGGAGAAACTAGCATGTTTGGTTAAGCTTAAAAGGGGGGAAAAAGGTGCAGATTTTTAAAAAACCAGCCTGGACAAAGGAAAGGGTCAAAGGTCTGAACCTTGCTTTATAGAAGTTAGAAAAAATAAATAAATTAACTTAAATAATAAAAACACATTGATCACTATTAAAAATAAAATAAAATGGAAGAAGAAGAAGTTAACAGTATCAACAACTCAAAGCATACAATTAGCACAAATAATCCAATACAATAAGCAGTGCAGATCGTCCTATTCAATCCAATTACACACAATGCAAAAAACTTGAATAGTAAGCAATAATGAAAATCATATTATCGCAAATCACAACAAAAAATGAAAATTATTATAATGAAAATCATATTATCTCAAATCACAACAAAAATGAAAATTATTAGTTAGCTTTAAGGCTATACATTCTGTTGAAATCAAGCATGTTCATCAAATTATTCTATTTAATTTCAGTTGATGTTGACGAAACTGTGTTCAATTAGGGAGAAGAATTTCAGACTTGCCATTGCAACAACAGAGCCGTTATATTTTATCTGCTTAATAGATTTTAGCAAGCCTCCAACCCACATTCATGATTTTCTGTGCACGTGAGTTTGGCATTAAAAAATGAGAAAAGGAAAGAAGCAGCACATACATATACAGTGAGTTTGGAAGATCTGAAGAGCTCCAGAGTCTCAAAGAATCAAAGTAGTTGACCTTTGAATGAAAAAAAAAAAAAGGCAAGAAAATAAATTTTAATGAAAGAAAGAATTGAGAAGCAGCACAGACGAAATCTTGAACCTTAAATGACGAGATGACGAGAGAAACAAAATGCATTTTTTTTTTTAAAATTGAACCAGGAAAACTAGCGGATTCTGGTTGAACTGGCCAGTACCATGGTTTACAACCGGTTTTCAACTGCACAGTATTTAGAGGCTAATCAGTCCAGTTTCCAGTGTTACAGTCAAACCAACTGGTCTTGCCCGGTTTTGATAAAATTAATAAAATGTGACTTTGTTTCCAAACACGTATTTATATCTTACCTTCATCATGTTTGGCTGAAATGCTTAAGAGCATCTTTTCCTGGCAGTATGTGAAATGATGCTGTCAAAAAAGGTACTTCTAAGCACCTATTAAGCTTAGCCAAACATGCTTCTTACTCTTACTTCTAAGCATATAAAGCTTCTTATTTTGGAAGTAACACTCACCAAAATGTCCAAAAAAAAGAGTAATCTGCTTATTTTCAGCTTTAACCAATGAAAGTAATATCATTTTACTTACGCCTCATAAATTAACTTTCTTGTAAGTAAACTTTAATGCTTAGCCAAACATGCTCCACAGGAAAATAATGTCGAGTGCAAGCCATATAAATAATTAGTCCACATCAGAGCAGGGGGGTGAAGCCAGGAATTTTATTCAGTGAGACCATAATTAAAGGAAATAAGGGAAGGAAGTCAAGAAGAAGGTGTCTGCTATGCATTAAAGGGAAAAAGACAGCTTCTGAAAATGGAAGGGGAGAGAAGGAAGGATGAGAAAAAACAAGGGCAAAAAAGAGCAAGCAAAGTAAAAAAATAATAATAAAGGTATCAGACGTGAGTTGTGGAAGGGGAGGAAAAAAATAAATACAAGGCAGAACTACATGCACAAAGTACACAGAAATGAAGCTATATGTAGCGAAATTTTCATAACTTCATATGGATAAAATATTTTGAAAAGTCAGCAGAAGTGGGAGCAACTGCCCCCACTGGCCCCAATGTGGCTCCACCAATGCATCGGTAGTTATTTGTTTTCTTTAATTTTTGGCATTGAGATTTTTTGGCTCAATAAATAGTATTATGTCTGAACAATTGTTGAACCAAAAGATTCAAGCAGAAACAACAAAGAACGCCAAGATTTACCCAGTCTCAGTAATAACAGACCAACGTATACATTGGAGCTCCATGCCATCACTTGTCTGCACAATATTCAAAGTTCAAAGTACAAGATTGCAAGAATATCAAACAGAAGCACTCAAAAATTTGGAAGTTTCTGGCCTATACTACAGATCTCATTCAAGAGGACATACAATATACAACGAGAGCCATACTAATCACTCTCAGTCTAACAAGAAATATATATCCTCGCATCAACCCTCAAAATGGAGGCCAACAGTTTACAGAAGGTCAAAACTCTTCTTTTATTTGCACAGCCAGAGAAAGGAAGAGAAAAGGACGAGAAGAAGAATGAAGTTCTTAGTGTAACCCTAGTCTGATGCCAATTGTTTTAAGGAAATCTGCCAGCCATTAATCTTTTTAGTGAATCCAACGCCTCTTAATGTGCCAGGTGGACAAGTTGTACTTCTCATCTGGGAATGAAATGTTTGGCCTGGAGCCATATTTCTCAAATGCAACTTCAAGTCAAAAATACATTTCCTTGGCAGAACATTCTGACAACAAGCAATGTGACCTTTTACTCCGTTCGTTCAGCTATTTCCATCCAAATTATGGTATTCTGGCTTAGCTCTATGCTTGCAAATGTAAATATATGCTCATCATGTTGAGCAGCGCTAGACTATGATGGAAACAAGGAAGGGAAAAGAAATGTATTTGCCTGTTTGGAAGTCGAGCAAAAGAGTTGGTCTCATTACAACAATTTCTAACAAGAATGGCATTTAATGCTAATCTTAATCAGAAAAAAAAAAAAAAGAGAGAATCACAACTTTCTTTCAGACCAGATACAGACACAGGAGACTTTTCCTTATTTTCATTTTTTTCTTCCTTCACAATGGAGCACTTCTCAAGGATCAGTTACCTGACTGATATTGTCTAAAATTGCTAAATCGAAATTTTTTTGCTCAAACAGAGGGCTCAGTTGATTTAACAAACCAGGAGGACGAAGCCTTTCAATTCGTCCTAATTTGGGCCATAACTTGCATTTCAGAACAACATATAAATTAACCAGTTAGACCCAAGCATTTAGCACAAGGCCCTCAATATCATCCATGCAAAGTCACAATAATCAACGGAATCAATTAATGATCACCAATTGGAGCATGATTTGGCACTTTTTTAGTTGAAGCATCAGTCTCGTACTCCGAAAAAACCTATCACGCTTAAGTAATTTGAAGGAAGTAAAAGGTGGAGAGACTATTGACTTGGTTGTCAGCAAGTGACGAAGGCATAAATGGTTGAAAGATCAGTCAGGTGGTACTATCTCTTAGATTCACATGCTTTTGCTACAGAGAAACCAGGGAGGGGAGAACTCAAGAATGAGAATGAAGCACAATGGCGGGTGATCTTTGGAACATTTGAGAAAGAGTAGATGATCCTTTTTTGAAAAGGGTTGGGGAAAATGAAAATTAAAGATTACAAGGAGAGAGGGAGCAATAGGCTAGAGATTAACCACTTGGATAGGAAGTATGTAATGAAGGATTAAAAGGAAAGAAAGATGATCAATGCAGAGACTAGCAACATTTTTTCAACCCATGTCTCACACTTCACAGAGTATGGCACAACGGTGAGACAAAAACCACTAGCTAATTTATGTTACTCTCGTTTTCAAAACAAAATTTCAGTGCAGAACTATTACTAATGAAAGGTTCAATGAAATCAAACTTATTGCAACCACATCAAACAATGATACTTTCGATACACCTCCACCTCTTCTAATTTGTTTTATGGAGATCTCACGATTCTTGTGAATTAGGCCCTTTTAATGTCTACACTTGCATAAAATGACCATTTAAGTCGTTATCCAATTAATTTAACCTCAATTAGCCACATCCACTTGCTGGTGATATTCTCATTTTGCTAATTTATTCATTCTAATCTAGTCACACCTCTACCTTAACATTTTAATTTGTTGTGCTCATCACACAGATATTTTATCTCTTAATAGTCCAACATTCTAAGTTATAGTTCCACTCCATCTTATTCTCCTCAACTAAAATATGTCACCAATACTATTGCTTACGCAAAAGGACCCCTCAGCTTGGATATGCTTGGTAAGTTCATAAATAATCAAAGCGAAGAGAGAAAAACCTGAGGCAAACCCTTTAACACAAGCCTACTGTCTTAGGAAAGGAAATTCCCTAATTCTACTACCCTCACAAGATCTCACATGCGTAATTGTTCTATCATATGCGCATCCTTAACGATATCAATATCTACGCAATAAAAAATCATATCTTCTCTAGCACCCACCATACACACTTTTGCAGGAGCCCTATCAAGTACACTTATATTTAGCCCTTGTTTGAGCCCCTTTTTTTGTTAAAATGCATTTTAGAATAGTATTTTGTTGGAAAATGTGTGATTAAAAAGTAAGGAAATGTTGTAGATTTACTTGTAAAATTATTTTACAGAAGAACATGTGGTTGAAAATGAATTTTGTTTCCAAAAAAAAAAGGCCCAAACATAGGCTTAATCTGGGCCCTATGGTGTTGCAGCTCTCAAGTACATTTCATTACAACAAGCATGCTCCCACGCCACAATATATGACTTGGGTACAGCAGAGGTATGTCGATGTAGTAATAATAATCAGCACCAATAATGCATGAAAGCAGTGTCAACACATGCTAATTGCCAGTATATACATCTAAATATTGCTATAACATTAAGAACTCAAATGCACACACCACATTAATAAAAGAGGATAAATTTGTAATCATTTACCTCAAACTTTCACTAACAAAATTCTAAATATCTAAGGCTTCAGATTTGATCAAATAATTAAGAAAATCCTTTTTAAGGCAGAAGAAAATTGGTGTGACAAAATAAGCTGATGTTAATTTTGTAAGTCATTCAACATAGAAGTTAGCTGGGAGAGAGGTCAATTCAGTTCATTGACTAAAGCTTCATAAAAAATGTGACAAAAGCATCTAATGTGCCAAAACATCACTTTAAACAATGTGCCACGAGTAAGGATACGTGGATCCATCTCAGTGATCTAACCAAAAATCCTTAACATGTGCCAGCACAAGATCTCACATACATAATTGTTCTATCACACGTGTATCCTTAATAATATCTTTATCTACCCAATAAAAAATCATTTCTTCTCTACCACCCACCATTCACACTTTCTGTACGAACACTATCAAGTACATTTATATTTAATGTGGGCCATATGGCATAGCAACTCTCAAGTAAATTTCATCATAACAAGCATGCTCCACGCCCCAACATATGACTTGGACCCAACAGAGGTATGTCGGTGTAATAATAATAATCAGCACCAGTAATACATGAAAGCAGTGTCAACACGTGCTAATTGCCAGTATATCCATCTAAGAAAAGCTATAATATGACTTGGACCCAACAGAGGTATGTCGGTGTAATAATAATAATCAGCACCAATAATACATGAAAGCAGTGTCAACACGTGCTAATTGCCAGTATATACATCTAAGAAAAGCTATAATATGCAGAACTCATATGCACACCACATTAATAAAAGAGGACAAATTTGTAATCATCGCACCTTAAATTTTCACCAAGAAAATTCTAAATATATAAGGCTTCAAATTTATCAAATAATTCAACAATTCCTTTTGAAGGCAGAAAAAATGTAATTGGCGACTAAATAAGCTGATGTTAATATTGTAATAGTCATTCAACATAGTAGTTAGCTGGGAGCTTTGTAGCACGGACACCCTAAATAAGGTATCGCGTCCGTGTCCGACACGTGTTAATACCGACACTCTTCGAACACTCTACAATAACCATTTTTCATTTTTACTATAGCTATATATATATATTTAACTCAAAATTATTAGTAAATAATAAATAAGTACTCATATTTAAAAAATTTTAACAAGAAAAATCAATAATAAGTATAAAAATAAATTCATACTATATAATTGAAGAATTTAATTAACACGTCAACGATGTGTCATGCCAGTAATTTTTTGAAAAATCACGAGTCGACGTATTCGACACGAATAGTGTCAAACACACGTGTCCGTGTCGGTACATCATAGGCTAGGAGAAAGGTCAGTTCAGTTCATTGACTAAAGCTTCATCATAAATGTGACAGAGCATCTAATGTGCCAAAAACATCACTTTAAACAACGTGCCACGAGTAAGGACACGTGGATCCATCTCAGTGATCTAACCAAAAATCCTTCACATGTTCAGCTTCTTTGCTGTAACAAACATGTAATCTGAACTTGATTTTAATTTTGTCAATAAGGTAAAATGAAATAGAAAATCGGATCGCCACATCACCCTAGAAATACCTTTAATGATTATCTCACTTCAAAACAGATAAGCAAAACTACAAACAAACTGGCATCAGAAATGAAGCCTCTTAAGGTTGAAAACTCAACTTATCCTAAACAGAAATACATATTTTAACTCTAAAACCAATCTGTTTTTCTGCACGAGCAAATTCTTTTATGTCAAACAACTCGGCATGCACATTCACTAATTTGTTACCAATAGAAGTCCTTGATATAAATGCTAACTTTTCAGATTGATTTATAGAACATTCAGAAAACGCCAGTAGACATACTAAATCCAGCTGCTATCGTTGTTATTATTGAAAATTGGAAAACAAAGAATTCCAAGGAGAAAAAATAAACGTCACAAAATTCTTTAGTCAGGCTAAAGTACATCCGTAGAACAAACTAACATAAGAAAAGAACAGAAGTACTGAAGGTGCAAATGAGATCATTGTGCATACCGTTTCATTGTTCGCTGGGTCTTTTTTTTCAATCAGCATGATAGTCTTCATGCATGTAGCGCAAAATCCTTTGTTTCCTCTAACGCACACATAGTCAGCATCTTTTGTGCAGCGCTTGCACAATGAATAGGTGCAAGTGTAGCACATATAATGCGAAGACTTCAAACATATAGTACATATGTGCCAACCTGAAGAAAGTAGAATCACAAGAACCCGTATGTATTATCATCGCGAAAGTTCATCAAGCATCATAATATGCATCTACTTAACAAATACAGAAAATTGAATGATTAACAACAAACAAATTAGTAACATTTTAGTTCGAAGCATTTCGTAGTAATAAGACATTATACTCATATTCTCATATGAAACAGATAATGTTCAGCTAACAATAAAAATATCTACACTGAGTTTTCAAATTAACTATGACATTAGTAGGGCTAACCTTATACTAAATGAACCCATATTTAGACTGTAAAAGCTATAATTAGCTTCCAAATAAAAAGCAAGAAACCAAATGTTTATCAATCAAACTAATGTGATTTGGTTTGTTTATGATTCAGTAGCTTAGTTTAAACCCACAAGCTGCTTCAAGTTTCTCTGATGTTTCCGAAATTTATTAAATTAAATACAAACTCTTTTCAAGATTTCGAAGCGTTTACCCAAGAGTAAGAGGACACGTGTCCAACAACGAGAATGTTGGTCATTTAGAAGTTTTGGTGCTTCTATGACTATCTATCTCGACAATATGCATAACAAGAAAAACATTCAAAAGTTTCAACTACCAATGGGTATCATAAATGAATCAAGTTTTAAAATATCTTGGCTAAATCCGTTATTTCATTTAATGCTATAATTCTACTTATTAACATAAATACAAGGGGACATATAGAAGTCCGAAATTTTCGCCACAAATAGCAAAAGAAGAAACAAAATAATAATTCATACAAAAAGCCAAAACTTCAGAATCGCCAGACTTCATTGAATTCATACACAGTAAAAGAGTTACATACCACAATTCCACACAGTAGTTGAACTAAAAAATTCCTCATCTCGCTTAATACATGCTGGATGATACGCCTTTGGACAGCCCCTATCCAATAGTAGCAGATATTCAATTAACTAGAAGGGAAGCTTCAAATATATCTTTCTCGGTGTACTTATTTCTTACTTTAGAAATGAAGATGTTGAATTGTAAATTTAAATTAAACAAATGTATCTCTGAATGAAAGCTTAAGCTATCAGAAGAGATTGTTCAACTGCAACGTAATATGACGCATTTATTAAAAAAAATGTGCCACCATGTCTTTGAATGTGGCCTGTACAGGGAACACCTCTCTGAAAAGCTTCAAGCTATTCAATTAGATGGTTCAACAAAAGAATCAAATGAATGAAATTTGAAAAGAAATAAGTTAATTCTAACTCAAAAATTTGAACTTTTGGTATGCGGTGCTCTAAATTTCAACTCACCTGCGATCACAAAGCACGAGAGAACCCCCATCGAAGCAAATGAAGCAAACATCCTCCTCTTCCTCCTGTTTTTCCCGCTTTGGAGGCGGAGGCTTTGCTGCTGCTTCAACAGGCCCCTTCGGCCGACGTCCTCTCTTCCGCTTCTCACCACTTGAGATCATCTGCTGCCCTGCTCGGATGGCTGGTAAGACACCCTCCTCTACCTCATGTTTTTCCCGCTTCCGAGGCGGAGGCTTTTCTGCTGCTACCGGATCCTTCTCCTTCGACGTTCTCTTCCGCTTCCCACCACTAGCCATCATTTGCTGCCGTGCTCGCGCAGCTGGCAAACACATAACCACAGTATAAGGTTGCAGTTCCACGACATCCGAATCGATCTCGGGCGGAGTTCCGACTACCTGCTGGTCATCCATACCCCAAATCCCCGCCGATGTAGATTCCCCGCCGTTGTCATTTCCTCCAGCTCTTTCAACAGTGGTGGTGACAGCCTCGTCATCGTCAAAACCCTGGGTCTGCGCCACCGCAGCTAACAGCGTTTCTATGTTCTTTCGACACAAACCGGAACCAAAACTCTCATTTTCCTCCGGCGAACTCATTACCACGAAACCCTAGAATTCCCAGTTGCCACGAAACAACAAAAACTTTGAATAAAAAGGAGATGGTGATCTTATATTTACCGGGCTGTATAAAGAAAATCAAAATGAGGAAAATTCAGACAGAGACACGCTATTATAGAGAGAGAAATATAGAAATGAAGAAATCTGGCTATTGTGGTATAGTATGATTGGTTACTAGGGGGTGAGATTAGTATTATCTTACTTTCGGCGCCAAGTGGAAATGTTAATCACATCATGTATATCTGTGTAAGAGTCAAAACTCTGGAAATGAAGCAAGCCACGTCATCCCCGCCTGAAATTCTTGGTCCTTTTCGAGTCCATTGTTTACAATAAGTCCCCGGTTTCACCGTAAGTCAAATTTCATAAATAATTTTCATCTAATATTTTATGAAACTAATAATTTGATTTTAATTCTCACCAAACAAAAAAAGTAAATTTTTTAATGAATGTGGCTAAAATGGAAAAAAAAAATTGCATTTAAATGCATAACGAGAGAAAGTGCGAGTTTGGAAAAAAAATGAATTTTAAAAATTAATGCTCAACATTAATAACAAGAAGTCCACCTCCATTTAATTGTGGCAATAATGGGACATCATGTTGAATACTCGTGTTTGGTGCAAAAGTAAAGTCGAAAAAAAAAGCCTGTGTTTGAGCCACATTTTAGGAAGAAAATGCATTATTCATGTCAAATTAATGGAAAATATATGGTTAAAAAATAAGAAAAAGTTTTAAATTTGCGTGTAATATTATTTTATTGAAAAATGTACGGTTGAAATGATATCAAATCACTATTGAAAAATACATTTTTTAAAAATAATGTAGCTCAAACAAGCCCTAAGTAACTTTTTCGACTGGAAAACAAGAAAAAACGATAAATTCAAAAAAGTTACCTTGACCGTAAGATTTAGCTAAAAAGCTTATTAAAATATAAGTTCAACATTAATAACTTATTTTAATTATATATTTCAAGATATTCACATTTTTTCAACAACGTATTTAATCGATTTTTATTAAAATTTTGATTTTTATCTAAACCTGACGAAACCTTAAAGTAAGGAAAGTTGTACTTTTTTCTAAGCTCAGCCGGTCATGGGCTTCAGATACGGTGTTAATCAACAATGAAGTGGACTTGAATAATTAGGTAAATTAAATTAAGCAGAACTAAATTCATTGTATCTTGAAATGTAAACAATTTAAATTTTAAACAGTTAATTATGAATTGGCAAACATGTGATGTAGGGCCGGGGAATAGGATGGAGGTTGGAGGTGGGGTCAACAAGTCAAATTGAGGGCGTGGCATTTCAGTAGTGCGTGCAAAAGGCGTAGTAACAGTTCTTTGTTAGGTCACTCAGAGTCAACAAAACGACACCGTTGCAATTCACTGTCATCCAGCCTCTAAGTTTGACCAACCATGCATGGTGTAAATAGCCCCTCTTGGCCCCAATTTTCTAGAAATGAAAATGGTTGGGATAGTGTTTTTTTGAAAAATGAGTGGTTGAAAAAAAAATTCGATTTATATTTAATATTATTTTATAGAATATTGTGTAGTTAAAAATAAGAGAGAGAAAAATGAAATGTAATGAAATAAAAATTAATGGAGGCCAAACGAGGACATAGTCTCTTACATTAATTGCACAAACATTTAATTAGACAGTTTAAAAAAAACTCTTCAACTATTATTTTGAGAAGGCATTTTCCTTACAAGGGGTCTTATCGACCCCTCATTGCAGGGACGGCCCCAGATGGAAAAAAAATTACGTCGGGGCTTGCTCATGTGAGTTGTCTGGCAGGAATATGTTGTACCTGCAGAACTTCTCCTTTTTTTTTTTGTCAACACAACAAATGACGTCCATAATGTAAGAAATGAGTGTACAAATAGCAAAACCCACGTCATGCTAACCTTCATAAAGCTTTCGGTTTTGAGTTTGTTTATATTTTTTAAAATTCATTTTTAATTACACGGTCTTCTATAAAAGAATCTTGCACGTAAATTCAAATATTTTTTTTAACTTTTTAATAACATATTCTCTAAATATTACTAGGGTTTTGCTATATGGACAAGGACCTGTCCAAATAGGGACGATATTTCAGACATCCGATCAATAAGCGTCACATCGTCCCTTACTTGGACAAGTCTCAATCCAAGAAGAGTAATCCAAATTACTATAACAAAATCCATTTTTCCATGAAATAGGGCTCAAGTACGGGCTTAATCTTTGCTTCTCTATTTTCTGAAAATGTTAAACTTTTGAAAAAAAAAAAATAGTTAAACGTGTTCCTAGGCTTTTTTTAATAAAAGTTTTGATAAAAAAATTTATCATAATATAATAAAATTTGATGAAATATATGGTTAAAATTTTGATAAAATTTGTGAATACATAAAATATGTAACTAAAATTAAAGTTTGATTGATTAAAAAATATAAAAATTTATCAACACTTAAACAAAAATATATTTAATTTAAATGATTACGAGGTATTTCATTTCATCAAAAACTATGGAAGCTCATATTGATTCAATTGAAATCATTTTAAACATAAACATTAATAATAATAATAATAATAATAATAATAATAATAATAATAATAATAATAATAATAATAATAACTCATTAAGCTCGGCTTAATGAGTTAGTTCATTTCGACTCATGGACTAGCTCATGCTTAATCCTTTTTTGGTATTATTTTATGAATTTCTTGAAAAAGTTGGTCCTTTTAAGATTATTTTGTTAATTTATATATATATTTTTTAAAAAGTCGACTCAAACTCAACTTGGCTCGTGGGAGGCTTGACTCATTTAAGCTCATGGACAACTCGTCATAAGGCCCACGAGCCAAAGGAACGAGCTCGAGTGTCTGCAGATTAAGTCGAGCCACCTTTAATTTGACCTACTAAAATCATATAGTCACTTAAAGTTCACTACAGGTTTTTTCGTCTTCTAAAGTCCATCGTACTTCTATATAAATTTATAGTTATCATGAAAAAAGAGAAAAAGAAAAGGAAAATAAAAGTTAATAGACTTGTATATTTTATTATTTATAGGGAAGAATTAGTGTTACAAGGGATATTCTAGTCATCATCTCTAGGGTTGTATAGGTATGAAAAATCATTCATAAATACTACTATATTTACAACATTCCTCTTTGAATGATTACTTACATAATAATTATCTCACTGAAATATTATTCGACAAAACCTCGATGGAACAAAAATGCCAACAAATGAAAAAGAATAAAAATAATTTGAAGTACAAAATGCTGCTTCATTAAAACCTTGTCAAAAAAATTTAATGGGACAAAACTCGATCAAAGAAAAATAGTACAACTACTTCCCTTGATTTCAAATTTTGTATCGAGTTATCCATATTTTGTATGTCAATATCTTCAATATTTATAACTTGTATGTCAACTTTTTTATTTAAAAAAAAAAAAACAATGAGACAAAATTTGATGACTGTGGTAACATAATGATTCAAAAAGCTCTTGTTGATATATTCGGAACTCAGGAGTATCATATATCGAAAAATATTATTTTGAGAGTAAATGTCTTGTATATTATGGACATTCATTATATAAAGAATATGCCTCACTTAAATCTTATTAGGAAAAATTCTATGGAAAAATTCTTAATGATGGAAAAAGAAAATATTATTCTTTTGAGTACGCTACAATTTTTGTCTCGTTAAAAAAACCTTGCTATGAAAGTCTAATGGGACAAAATCTCGATGAAGGAAAAATAGTACAATGCGTACTTACTCCCCCTCATAATAATGTCACTTGAATTATGTTTTAGACATATTAAATTCTTCAGGGATAATATTAACACTCATGCTAGATAAGTTGACTATCACATATTTCAAATTTCTTACATCGTTAATATAATATGATACGGGCTTTTGAGTTCATCCACCATGATCTTTGTGAAATTCACGAAGTTTAGAGTTGTGCATTATATATTACAACTTCATTTTTCTCATTTCCTTTGTGCATAAATATATACATTTAGATTTTTGGACTGTAGGTCCAAAAACTTTAGGTTAATTTAGACTAATCAATTTTAGAATTGTATCCTTTTTATTTGGCTAATCATAACTTTGATCAATATATTTCGACGCATTTATTTCAATTCTCGCTATATGATGCAATACATCATATGCAAAATTTTGTCAACACTTTTCTTTTCGATTCTATTTATTTTTTCATAGTAACATAACTTATCAAGATATCCCAATTTTCAATATTTCAGGTACCTAACCTCTTCTAAGATTTTATAATTTGTTATGTCTAAATAGTAAATACTAATCAAAAGTATATGACTCCTTAATGAGACAATATTTATAAATTGCTTCATTTTCCTTTGGAAAATTTTGTATTAGAATTGAATATAATAACACTTCAAGCGTACCATAAATTTAACTAATTACCATCCAGGACGTTAATTCAAGTTGGAGCATTTAAAATTGGCATGTGAGATATTATTGATCTCTTTGGTCAGTAAATACATTTAAATAAATTATTGAGTAAATGCATTTAAATAAATTATTTTTCGAATTTCCGATTTGAATTATCTTTTGAGAGGATTTAGATAATAATACATTTGCAAATTATTTTCAGTTTCTTAATTACTCCCCCTAATGCTAAGAGAAGAGTTCAATCAAATTGACAATCAGTAAATAGCTTTGTGAAATATCACCCATTAGGGCTTGAGATATTATATAAATATTCAAATTACTCATTGATTCTCAACTTTCTTTACTTTACATCTTAGTTAATTGTAGTGGATCAATTTTACATATATTGTACTATCAAAATAGTTAGATGAAAAAATTAGGCTCTAACAATAAATCAATTATAGCAGGGAAAACCAAGATATAAACATGATGCATAATAGCATTCTCTAAATAGGAAATGGGAAGTACTTTGCTCAATTAAATTAATTAGAAGCATTTAACAAGCACTAATGTTAAGCCATTTATCGAGGTCTCAACTAATATTTATTAAAATGTTGAGATTTAAGATCATTAGCATTAACAAGATACACCATTTTGATTGTATAATCTGAAAATTATATTCATAAATTGAGCAATAATTTTGCAAAGTTCAGGTTGCGAGTGTCATGCAGTCATGAAATATATGTATCAAATATATTACATACAAATATGGTCAACGTGGTTGA